TATAATGTTTTCTTTAAAGTTCTTAAATAATAAAACTATAATTTTATTGAAAGAGCTGTGCATGTCTTGAATATCTATTATTAGAGCATTTTCATTTTTTGATCTGATTTGGCTTCTGGGTATAAAGAAGAAGTAGATAGACTATCCTCTTCTTAACTTTGGAAAAAGATTAGACTACTGTTTAGTTAGTATCTCTTTTAGGCTTTTTTGTCTGTCATTGTCTTTTTGTAAGTCAATATAGAGATTAGTTTTATATGCTTCATTTAACAAACTGTTATTTTGTAAGTTTTTTGTTATGTTTAGCTTTTGTTCTGTTGTATTTTTAATTTTCTCTAAGTTGTTTAATATTACCTGTTCTTCAGATATATTGTTTGTTGTTATATTTATAGTATTTTTGGACATGTTTTCTTGTTTATTTTTTGGTCTTGAATAACTTTTATTTTTTCTATTTCTAGTTTAACTTGTTTGTTCTAGCTTGTTAGGTTTTTACTAAAAATTTTTTTTAGTACCTGCTTTTCTTTTTGTTTATGTTTAGTAGCTTCTTCTATGTTAGTCATTAAGTTTGAAGAGCTTGATATATTTTTTTTGTTTTTTTTTACTTTTTTTTGCTATTTGTTAATGTCATTTTTTTTGTTGTTTTTATGCTTTTTGTATATTGAAATTTTGTAAAGGATCTTTTTCTTGGAATAAAGATAAGAGCCCTTGTTTTAATAAATACTTTAGCTGATTTTGTCTTGTTATTTGCTCTTATTTTTAACAAAAGAGTTACTCTACTCCAAAACTCATATGTTCAGAAGAGAGTATATATAGATCTTTTTAAACTTTAATTTTTAATATAAATTAATAATAAAGAAGTTATAATATAGCAAATAATTATATCTAATTTATTTTTTAACAATGATTTTTTATTAAATTAATAAATAGCAAATGATGCAAAAGAATTTTAAATATTAAAAAAATAGTTAATTTTTTCAAAACTTTATTAAAAATTTTAATATTTTGTATTTTTTTGAATTATTTTGAATAATTATAACTTTTAAGATATTTTAAATATATTCAAAAGTTAGTGAATTATTTAAAATTTATCAAGTTAATCTAAATATTATAGTACTTAATTTATCAAATTTGAATATATTTTTCATAAGATAGATAAACTTTATTTTATAGCTTTTATGATTATATAGTATTTTGATTTTATTTAAAAATATTTTGTAAGTTTGTAAATACAATAAAATACTTTACAACTTATTTAGTTTGTTTATTATTATTTCTTTATTTTTCAATTATTTTATATTCATAAATTTTTAAAAATTTTTACAATATTTTAAATCTTTTCAACTTCTTTAAAATATTTTTATAAATAAATAAAGTAATAATAAAAATAATTTAAAATAAATATACTATATTATTATGTAATTAAAATTTTATTCTATTAATTAATTTAGTTTAATAATTATATTTTTAGTAATTTTTAATATAATTTAAAATGTTTTGAAATATTTAAAATATTAAAATAAATAAACATTTTATTATTAATCAAAATTTTATTTAAAATTAATTTTATTATAATATGATTAATATTAATTTTATTATTAATTTTTAATTTTATTAAACTTTATAAAATTTTTAATTTTTTTCAAAATTTTCAAAATATTTTGTAATCTTCAAAAATTTCTATATTCTATAAATTTAAAAAATTTATTTCACAATTATTTCAAAATATTTTATACTTCACAAAAATTTTAAAATTTTTTTTGTAATATTTTAAAAGATTTTATATAATGCAATAATTTCAAAATTTATTTTATAATATTTCAAAATATTTTATATTTTGCAAAAATTTTGAAATTCTTTTTATAATATTTCAAAATTTTTGCACTATGTAAAATTTTTCAAAATATTTCACATCTATAATTTTGCTAATATAAGTAACTAAGTGATTAAGTAACTAAGCAACTAAGTGACTAAGCAACTAAGTAATTTTTAATTAATTAGAAAGTTTTAGTAATTACTACTAATAATAATATAATAATAATAATAACTAATACTAATAATAATAATAAAATAATAATAATAATAAAATATTAATTATTTATTTTATAACATTATATATATTTTATATCTAATTTGTCTAATTTGTTTTTTTAAAAATAGTTTGTAGATTTCAATCAGTTTAATAATACTATTAAAAATTTATATTATTTTTTTATTTAGAAATTTTTAAGTAAGTTTCATTATTTTGTTTTTTAGTCTTTTATACTTGATGGTCTTATTGCAAATTTGTACTAAAATTTTATATAATACTAGTAAGTATTTTTCTATATATATATAATTTTATCTAGAAGTTAAAACCAGTTTTAATAATTTAGACTTATTATATAAATTTTGTGATATTTTAAAATTTATTAAAATTAATAAAATAAATTTCTAAAATATTCTAAAATTTACAAAATAAACTCAAATTATTAAAACTAGTTCTAACCTTTAATGTTATTTTTATATATATCTAAGTTATAGTTGTATAAGCTAATTGATTAACAAAATATATTTATTATAACACAGATATAATTTTTAAATTTTATTATAAGTAAAATTTGAATATTAAACTTACCATCTGAAGAATGACAACTCAACCACTATATTATAATCACTATCCTTTAAGTACTACTTATTAAAAATATTATAATTAATAAAATATTAAAAAACTACAACAAATTTTTAAAATTAAATAAATATTTCAAATAAATTTAAAGTATTAAAAAGAAAATAAAATAAATTTAAATTTTTCATATATTAATACAAATAAAAAAGTTTTTAATTGTCAAAAAAAAAGTTACAAAAATATATTATACTAGGCTATCTAAATTGGTAGTTTAATGAGTTTTGTTAATTCTAAATAAGGAAACTAATAAAAAAGATATCAAAAAAATAAGTACTGAAATTTGGATAAACTTTACAAAAATATAATAATTTAATAATTAATCCTGACTGTAAATGTTAATCTTGACTATAGTGGTACTAGGTTTTTTATATATGTGAATTGCTTTAAAAACTTCATAATTATGACATATTTGCACTGATAACAACCAAAGCAGTTGGTAGAAATCATTTCTTTTTATTTTTTCAACAAATTCTCAACTACTTCATACTTTTTCTATACATTATCATTCAATTATTGTTATTCAAAATTTTAAAAAAAATTATTTAGAAAAAATTTGCTTGATTTCTATTAATACAACCTCATATTCATTATACATATCAAAAAATATTATAAATAAAAAATTATTCTTCATTAGACAATATATGTATCAAGATTTTATATTTAAAATTCGATATGTTGAGATATTCTTGTAATAAATAATTTTAATTAAAAAATATCTTCGTTATATGCGAATTCGGTTTATCGAGGTTCGTTATATTAAGATTATACTGCGTGTAATAAAGTAACATTTCGTAATTTACTATTAGTTGTAATAATTTATTATTATTAATGGAGGATATTACAAAAGACTTTTAATCAAATTTATGCTATCTACGATCACGCAATTCATGCAAAGCAATGACGTTACATAACCCGAACCCCGGCGCTACGAATTACCGGGGTACTATCGAATGTTTGAACCCACACAATGTATTACATATTAGCAAAGCAAAAAAAATAATGAAGGCTTATACAAGGAAAATTTTTAGTCAAAATTTTCGCAATAGATAGTCGTATGGTAGCCTCCGAAAATTTGTAACTTTTTTTTAAATCTAGATTAGTGGGATTGAACATTTAGATAAATTAGTAAAAAAAAAACAAGAGTATTTATTTCACAATACAATAATAATGTGCTAAATTTTATGTTTTCTGTGTAATATGGTGCTCGACAATCACGCAATTTTCTCGTGATCATGGTTGGCCAATAAAATTTACGTATTTCGATATACTGCGCCAAATTTAGCATTCGCTAAAACTTTTTACAGACAAATTTTTTTAAAAAAACCGACCGATAACTTTATACACAAAACTGAGCTCTACAAAGTTAACGGTCATTTTTTTAAAAAAAATATTTTATAAATTATAGTCTTAAATTTTGGCTATTTTTCGAATCGTTATAACTTTCGATACTTTTTTTTAAAAAAAATCCGACCGTTAACTTCGTAGAGCTCAGCCTTGTGTATAAAGTTATCGGTCGTTTTCTTAAAAAAATTTGTCTGTAAAAAAGTTTTAGCGTTTTAAAAAAAATATACTAAATTTTGGCGCAGTATGTCAATTTTATTGGACAACCACGATCACGAGAAAATTGCGTCATAGGCAAAAGTTCGTCTGATTGGCTAATAAATTCAATTTAATTTTAAATTATTTATACAGTTTAGAGTACTTTTTAAAAAAACGAAAACCAACCATATTAAAGTAAAAAAACTATATAGAAGGTTTCATTAGAGCTGTAGGACTCCACAGTCAAAAATAAGATCTAATTCTCGTCCGTTTAAAAAAATTAGCTTAGTAAGAAGTTGATTTTATCGAGTTTTGAGAAGTTATTACTATATTAACTTTTTTAAACGAGAATTAGATCTTATTTTTGGCTATGGAGTCCTACAGCTCTAATGAAACCTTATACAACTTTTTTTTTATTTAATTATGATTGGTTTTTCGTTTTTTTTAAAAAAGTACTCTAAACTGTATAAATAATGTAGAATTAAATTAAATTTATTAGCCAATCAGACAAACTTCTGCCTATGAAAAATTGCGTGATTGTCGAGTATAAGCTTCTGGCACCATAGTAACAGATTCTAGAGGTTATATATTCAACCGGTTTAGCCCGATTTGTAAATTTTTGACCCGGTTGAACCGTTTGACACGGGTGACCCGGTTTAATATAACCCGGTTCTAAACTCTAATTCTAATGAATTTGTTTGAAATGTTTAGAGATTTTATTTAAAAAATCATATAGTAATAATACAACAGTTTTTTAAACCTAGCTTTTTACCATATGATTGTAAATTTACCTCTTTTATTATTCGTTTAAAACCACGTGCGGTACATATTGATATTCAGTCAATGAATAATTCTTTTCCAAGTTTGGTTGTATATCATCACCTCTGCTACTGGCCTGAGTGACTTGATCATCGCTAGCTTCACCGAAAGGCTTTATTTCAGCATTCGTGTTTTGATCAATTACAATACGCATGAATCCACGATACATTTCCACGCGTGCGTTATGAATCAAGACGCATGTTTGCGGTTGGAGAAGTGATATTTGGTCTAATAATGAAATGGATAGAAATGGGTTTAATTTACGTGAGAATATTTAGCTTAAACAATTGATATATACCGTTAATGGCCTTTACAATTATGCATCCGGAAGAATCACCAACAAGAAATTCGGCGACTTTGATTTTCGACAAGGCTTAATTTATCGTGATAAAACTCAGCCAAGAAAGTTCATTTGGATATATGCTCTTCTTAATTGGATACTAGGCGATAAAACACACTAACTTGATTCATTGCCGTCATCCACTTCACCAGACATGATTTGTGCAAGGACTTTTACACGAAGGTTTACTTGATGTTGATCTGGTAATAATTTTGCCACCTCCATGTCTTTTTATCTCAATAAATATATAAAAAGAATTAGTAAACAAAGAAAGGCCAACAAAATTAATTATTGGGTATCTCTTACAAGCTTTGGCCGATTTTGGTGACATTTTAGATCAAATTGCTTAACATCAATATTGGAGGAAAATAAGTTTCGTAATGGCAGCAAAAATGAAAGTAATTTTTAATTCTCACCTGATTCGAAACTTGCGAAGCTTGAACTCCTATTGGACAATTAGTTTCCATTTAGGGAATAGATTAACGACCTAGCCCTTAATTAGATTTCGTTAGATAGTGTTAGACAATGGTTTTAAGCAGGTGCTACATAACGAAAACGGTAAGCCAAACTTGTTCTAATTGGTTGTTTATGCGTATTGTAAAATTTTGATATTTAGCGTTAGAATACGTAGAACTTTTGACCTAACCCTAAAGTATAAAGTATAAAAGATATCGATAAAATTGATTTGATTTAAAAAGAATTCTTGTATCTTTCATATTAACTATATCCAGTTGGATCTATAAATACAAAATTATCAACGTTTAATTTTTTATTTTAAATTATTTGATTTTGACCAATCAAAATTATTGATCAAACAATGAAATCGAACTTGATTCATTCATACTGTTTAAAAACGATAATTCTTTTTTTTTACAATCTTAAATAAGGTAATCCTTTTTAACTGTAACATTAATAAATTATTGTTTATATTATGAATAAAGTTAATAAGCCCCAACACAAAATATAATATAAATAGTAAAACAAATAAAAGCCTATATTTATCTAGCAATTACAAATACAGCCACTGTATTTACTGGTTACCTTATTTTCAAATCGACCAGATGGTTAAAATTACCAATTATAGGTTTTGTGGATACATGGCTTTTAACGGTTTTAATAGATGGATCCCTTAAATGTAAATCAAAAGCGAAAAATTATCAAAAATTATACTTATATATTTCAATATTCGATTAAAAAACAAGAATCGAAAAAATATTTTCTTTAACTTTTTTCGTTCTTTAATTTCATAAAAACGAAAATAACTCAAATTTGGGATATTCATTACGCCTTCAATAATGTTCAATAATGTTGTAATGATCAAATATGAGTCAGAAGAGGATAAGCTTAATGATTTAGCGAAAGATCTATAGATTATCTATGGGCTTAGAAAATAAAACGTCATACGCTGTGATTTATTAAAAAAAATTGATTCTTAATAAATTATTAAATGCGACAATTAAGTATCACCTATTTCTAACTTCTGTAGTTCCATCACACAATTTCCTGGATTAATTTAAATGTAGTAACGTAGCGCCATTTTTTAAATAAATAATAATATCGATATCGATATCTTATTTCAGTTAACTTTCAATAAAAGAAAAAAAAAAACATGCAAACAACTGGAACAAACGCAGAAATTAGAGCAAACGCTGATGGAAGTGAAATTAGAAGGCAACTTCAACCTAACGTTTACACACGATATTACGATTTATTAAGTCGCGTTAATAATTTTAGTATTATCGAATCCACTTTACGAGGTTGGTATTTTATTTCAAAACAAAAAAACACTCATATTTGAATATAAGTTAAATTTATCTTGTTAATTTTCAATTTTCTTCTCTTAAAAGAGGGTGAACAATTTGCCAATGCGTTTTTCGATACCAATAAAAAAATAGAGATCGCTAAAGCTTTAGATGAATTTGGTGTTGAGTATATTGAACTTACGTCGCCCGCTGCTTCAGAACAATCAAGACTAGATTGTCAAGCGATATGTAAACTAGGGCTCAAAGCAAAAATTTTAACTCATATAAGATGTCATATGGATGATGCAAAAATCGCTGTCGAAACCGGTATTTATTGATAATATCATTTATCATTTTTTGTTTTTTTACATCATTGTTATATATATATATTTACTATTTGTCATGCACGAATAGGCGTTGATGGTGTAGATGTCGTAATAGGAACTTCTTCATATCTTCGTGAATTTTCTCATGGCAAAGATATGGACTATATTGCTAACAAAGCTACTGAAGTCATAAATTTTGTTAAATCCAAAGGAATTGAAGTCAGATTCTCATCTGAAGATTCATTTAGAAGTGATTTAGTTGATTTATTATCCATTTATCGTACAGTAGATAAACTTGGTGTTAATCGAGTTGGCATTGCTGATACCGTTGGTTGTGCAAATCCACGTCAAGTTTATGAATTGGTTAGAACTCTTCGTGGTGTTGTTTCTTGTGATATTGAGTGTCATTTTCACAATGATACTGGTTGCGCCATAGCTAATGCTTATGCTGGTATGTGACTTTGCTTATAATTTGATTATTAATTACATTAATTATTAATTTTATATTATTAACCTTTATTAACATGATCTTTTATGATATTCAGCTCTTGAAGCTGGTGCAACTCATATTGACACCTCCATTTTGGGTATCGGTGAACGTAATGGAATAACACCACTTGGAGGATTAATTGCACGTATGTACACTGCGGACAAGGACTACATCAAATCGAAGTATAAACTTCACATGCTTCGTGACCTTGAAAACTTGGTAGCTGATGCTGTCGATGTTCAAGTTCCTTTCAACAATTACATTACTGGCTATTGCGCATTTACGCATAAAGCTGGTATTCACGCGAAAGCAATTTTGAATAATCCAAGTACTTATGAAATTTTGAAACCCGAAGATTTTGGGTATGTAAATGTATTTTCATTAAATTTTTTTTTTTTTTGTCCAAAAAATTAATTTTTAATATATATATATATTTTTTTTCTTAGTATGACTCGATACGTAAACATTTGCCATCGTTTAACCGGATGGAATGCCGTCAAAAATCGTGTGGAACAGTTGGGACTTAGTCTTACCGATGACCAAGTCAAGACAATCACCGCTAAAATTAAAGAATTGTCGGATATTCGACCACTAAAAATGGAAGATGTTGATAATTTGTTAAGGGATTATCATTCTGCTATTATATCTGGTGATGAATTACAGGTTAAAAACCTTTTGTCTGTTGTCTCTGCTGTCCCAAGTTAGTTTTTTTTCGGATGGTAGAGAAGGGGTTCTTGACAGTTTTAAACGTATTTAACCAATTAAATTTTTGGGCTAAAAAGTATTAAACTAGTTTAAGGACTGTTCGGCATCTAATTTGTTATCTTAAAAAAATTTACTTTTTCTTTTTTTACTTTTTTTTTTTTTTTGATTTTAAAAAACTTGAACGGATGCCGATTCTGTTTTAAACATTGTATCCATGTAGAATTATCAAAATTTACCAGAATGATCCGGATATTTAGTAATACCCGGGTAATGAGCGATTTTTTTCTACTCTGTTTAGAGATTATTTAGAATAGGTAACATTTCGATATAATATAATTAATAATTAGATTTAAGGCTGATGATTGATAGCATTTATACAAGATAACTTTCTACCTTTCAATTAACATCTATTCTACTTTCTATTCAATTTTCTACAAGAAAAAAATTTTTATAAAAAGCGCCTTTTAAGAGTAGGGTGTCCGTAGATATGTAACCCGTGGTACATAATTTTTGTGTAATACAATGGAAATCGAATACATGATGCGCAATCTAGAATTTTCCATGTAATTCATAGTACGTAATACGATATCTTCCTAAGTGCACGCTCATGTAAATTCTCTACAAATGCATAACATAGTTTAGCTTCAACTTATTAGTGCACTTTCTTTAAGTGCACGTTTACTTTTTTTTCAATATGGTCCCAAGTGGGATGCATTTATAGAGGTTGTTCTGTAATTTTTTAGCATAATAATGTTTTTAGATTTGAATAAGGACAAAGCATTATATAATAAAATGTATATTAGAACATAGAATTGAAATGAAAATAAACAATTTATAAAAAAAAATTTTTTACTTAGTGATTTTGAAATTACCTGATTTTTATTTGAAAATGTAAAAGTGTGTATATATTAAGTATCAATCAAAAATAAAATGTATATATTAACCAATTAAAATTATTAAACTTTTATTAATAATTTGTTTTTAAAAATAGAGAGTACTATATTAAAATTATATATAAACATAAATTTTTTTTTTTTGGTGTTAAGGTGACTTCTTTGGTCTTTTGACTTTTATTAATAACTTTTTTAATAATGTGATTTAATGAACTATTACAGAAGAGCATACAATTAATTACATATATAACTTTTCTATATTATCTATTTAAAAAGTCTGCCTAAAGGTTTTCTACCAATTGCTATATCTAACACTTCTGCTTGGGTGTTCTACTTTAAACTCTTTGAATCTACAATTTGTATAAACATCACCAGGTCATATTCAGATATTCAGATTATTATTTCAACCTTAAAACTATTTTATCTTCAAGATAAACTTTTCAAAGCCTTTTGTATTAATTTTTTTAGCTAACTCAGTATTATTATAACAGAACCAGCATTTGTAGTTAGAATTATATTATTTAACTATTATGTTTTTGTAGAGTTTACACAAACTTCAACATTTACTTTACAGCATAACCTCAATACTTTAGTATATCTCTGTTTTTGCATCTGTTTTTTTATCAGACTTTTAATCTAAATAGTTTATGTAGAACTACAATCAATTTATTGGTATATTGGATTAGGCTAATATTTTTTTTTTGATTTGTTCTGATAGTCTGGTTGGTAATACCTTCAAGACTTTCAACTTAGAAATTCTTGCTTATTCAAATACTATGATCAGATACTATAATTTTGGTATTTGTTTTCTTGTATTAATCTTTATAATAAACACAGGTTAAACAAATAAATAAAGAATGAATAATAGGTAAATAACAGAAAAAAAATCTGCCATTATTCTACTCTATATTCATCAAATAATGGCAGCATAACAGCTGCATAACAGCAGAATAATAGTAAAATAACAGAAGGTTTGTTAATATAAGTAACATAATAGTAACATAATAGTAAAATAATAAAACAGTTCTATTATTTTACTTTTAGTCTTTGTAACTAAAAGTAAAATAAT